TTCTTTCTATAGTTCCTGTTCCTATAGCTCCAGTTTCTATAGTTCCTCTTTCTATAGTTCTAGTTCCTATAGTTCCAGCCCTGTATATGGACTGCTGGTCCACATACCTGTTATGGTCAGAAGGCCTCGCCTTCTTCAGGCAATATGATTGGCTGGTGTCTTTCATTTATGATTAAATAGGTAAATGATCTAAACTTCCTTTGAACCTGACCTTAAAATCAGTTTGAGATGTTTTTGTTTTAATGAGTTGGTTGGTTTCCTCCCAGATCCTGTCTCTACAAGCAGAGGAGGCTCAAAAGGAGAGCCAGGTAGAGGAGTATGAACGGGAACTGGCCCGAGCTCGATGGAGGCTGAAGAAGCTCAGAGAGGAGGTGAAGAAAGCCAAAAGGAAGGTGGAGGAGGCCGGGGAAAGGGACACTCCCCTCCAAGACTCCATCAGACAGTCCTATGAGGAGATCCTGCAGGTGAGGAGGAGGTCCTTCTGGAAATAAACACTTTCTGCTGCCATATAGGAACACAGGCCTACATTTAACTATTACAGATCAACTAAACACACAGAAATCAAACCCTCACAAGTCCTGGGCTATGGGCGCTTTTATTTCATCAGGTAATATTTGGACGGTGGTTTATTGTTTTTGAATGTAGCAGTTATGGGCTAGGCAGCTAGCTGCAGCTACAGAAGCAGCAGCTAGTCCTTTAAAGGAGGCGTGGAAAAAACCAGGGAGTGCTTTAGGTTTAGTGAATATATATTCAGTGATTTGCATAAAAAAAACGGAGAATTACAGCAAAACGATGAGAAGAAGAAAATTGACTCAGAATTAATAAATTCCAAAATCATAAAGTCCACGGTCAGTTTCTAGCTCGCCATCTTCTGATCCAGAAAAAAAGACCTAAAAGGTCAGAAAACCCAAAAGTGTTTCATCTAAAACAACAATTATGTACAAAACAAAGGAAATAACAATTAAATTTAAGTATTTAGTTCATGCATATCAAATGCAATAATTAGATTCCTAATAATTAGATATAAACATTTCAATCAGGTTAAATTAACTCTAATGTCAAAAAATAAGTATAATATTTCAAGCTAATCAATTTAAGTTTAAAGTGCAATTTAAAAATATAATAATTCTCAAATACTCAAGTAGTACGGAGGAGGAATAGGGCTACTGAAAAAATAAGTTAATAAAGTTAACAGATTTTATTTCAGTTTAATATAGGAAAAAGTCAGAAGTCTGACTCTAATAAGACTTAGAGACTTAGATTTATTTTGTCTACACAAGTGTTAAGAAACAAAATCGTCTAGAACATCTCTAGACAATTTCTTTTTTTAAAGTGCAGCCTTGATCAGGTCAGCAGCGGTTGTTGTTGAGCTGCTGCCTCCAGCTCCTGCAGCGCTCGCTTCTCCTGGCTCAGGGGGGGGAGAGGACGATGATGATGATGCTGTGAGGGTGGTGGCCCCCCCTGGGTTGAAGAGGCTGATATGGTTGAAGCAGCAGTGGCGCCATCGGCAGGTTTAGCAGCGACAGACGATGCTGGAGAAGGTGTGGAAGCAGGAGGGGGGGCCGGGAGGAGCCGGCTGGGGATGGTTCAGCATTTGGCAGGGAAGCATCTAGAGTGCTGTCCTCATTTTCACCTGCAGAGGGCGGTGCTTCCCCTCTAGATGCTGAAGATTACCTGGGAACAGTCTCAGAGGAGCCTCCATTCATGGCGAGCTCTTTGTTTCTATCGACACGGTGCAGCATCAGCCCCCCCCAGGCCAACAGCACCGCCTGCTGGACGCAGCCATGAATGACGGCGCAGCAACGGGCGGACGTTGGAGAGCAGGATTGATGGAAGCGGATTTCTCTTTAGCTTCGCAGTTAGCCCCCCTCTGCATCCTCGCCTTTTCCGTCTCGCGCATCTCTTCCTGCGTTCATTATTTTCCGCTGTTGTTTTGTTGGCATCCGTCTGTAGCACTCCGCAGCTTTTTAAACGATCAAAAATGTTTGTATTTAAAACATTTTGTGACCTTAGCTCCAGAAAATAAGTCTGACAGAAAAAGTCATTCTGAGATTAAAGTCGGAATTCTGACTTTTTTCCCCACATTAAACTGAAATAATATTTAAAAATCACTTACCGTGTTTTTTCCAGTGGTCCTAATCCTGTTTGACAGGCAGAGCGAGAGAAAGGAGAAAAAATACTTAAACAAATATACCGCATTGTATAAAATCTAAGTGTAGCTACCTTCTTTTCTGTTGAATTTTATTTTAAACTTCACTGCCTCAACATCATGTTAACGTGTCAGACGACAGGTGACGGTCCAGGTAAGCGGCGCCAACCATTCCAATAAAACAACTGCACGCTGGAGGCGGGGCTTTAAAGAAGCCAGCAGAGTTTGGGGCAACACAGGAAGTTTGCCCACAAAAATAAAAGTCCTTGACTAATTGCGGGTTAGTTGGACTCGCAATTCAATTCAATTCAATTCAATTCAA